CGCCGACCTTCTCTTTCTCCCGAACGCGTCGTTGCCGAGCCCGCTGCTTCGCCCGGCAGTGAAGCCGCCGCAGGAAAAAGCGACCCCGACGCGCCAGCCGGAGCCGGGCTGCCTGTCCCCAGCACTGTGTAGCCCCACGGGGTTAACGCAAGGTGCAGATCCCGGATTTGCAGGGCAAGCCCCTGGTGAGAAGGGACCTGGGGGCGCTTCTAGGGCAACCCCCTGCCCAGGAAATCCTCCTTATTTTGAGTTTGGATCTCTCTCTGCCCCACCTGTTGACTCTTGTCCCACCCTTGGGCCCTCTGGAGAATCAACCCCCCCTTCCCTGGGGCAGCCCTTCAAGGATTGCCCCCGGGTCTCCCCTGCACCCAAACCGCGACACCCCGGCCTGGCTCACCAGGCGCGCAAAGCCGGTGCTTGGGTTTCCACAGCAGAGCAAACCCCAACCTTCATCTCCCTCTTAGCTGAGGCTGGCAATGGCGGGTGACCCCAGCCTGGGCGAGGGTAATGCCCACCCACTCAGAAGGCATCCTGCCCTTTCTGCCTAGGCCTGCCTGGTCTCCTCCTCCTTTCCGCGGCCTTCATTCTCCTACCTCCAAATTGGGCTCTTCCAGCGGCCCGGAAGGCTCGCCTGCCGCCTCCTGCCTGAAGTACCCTCGGCCTTCCTGCCGGACATCACAGGAGTTAAACTCCGGCCTCTTGGAGGAAGCCGGGAATCTGCCTGAAGCCCTTGAGGGCTGAAAAGTCCATCTGGCTTTGAAAAAGGAAGTTGCAGAGCGAATCGGTCAGTGTGTATATCCAGCAAAAGAAGAAGAATGCTCAAGAGACGCTCTCCCCTGAACATCTAGGGGGAAGATCGCAAGGAAAGCTTCAGGGGAAGTTTGGATCCTGTTTGGAATGGGCAAAAGAGATTAGTTGCAACGCCGTGTTGCAAGTCAGCTGGGTGTCGGGGAAAACCATCCCCAGAAGGAGAACAAGTTAGTCAGTTCTGGCCTGCTTCTGAGGAAAAGGAAATTTCAGGCCCGGCCCAGACCCGCAGCTGCTCTGGTGGGCATCCAGCGTCCATGGGAGCCCAACGGGCGGGGGGGACCATCGCTGGCCCCCCGCAGTGGGTCCCCAGAGGCTGATGCTGACCTCCCAGCCTGGGGGAAGCAAGGACCCCCTTGGCCAAGAGGTCTTCCCAGTCCTGGTTGCCGCAAGGCCACGTCCGGTGGCGACAAAATGACAAGGCCGATGTGGCCTGCAGCATTCGGAACCAAGGTGGGCAGAGGCACCCTGGATCCAGAATGGGCACCCAGCCTGTGCCCGTCAGGGCAGACAAGGTACCATTAATACGCCACACAATATGTGGCAGACTTGTGAAAAGATGGAAGACAATATTCAAAGCCAGGAGAGTCAGAGTTGGGACCATTGCACATTTTTGAGGGAGATGACTCTAAACTAAACAAAAAGGAGTTTATTGTATTCTTACTCCTGACTACAAACTTAAGAGTTGCTCAAAACTGGAAATTTCTAAGTAGCCTGTCACTGAATTGGCAGGCTAAAGTACTGTGTAGTCAGTTGTTCTTATGGAAAAAGTGACTCTGAACGTGAATATTGACTTCTCAGAGGGATGAATCACATTTTTATCTGATCTGGAAAGATTGTATAAATTATGCTAATAATAATCACTTTTATTGATCATTGTTGTACGTAACCTGTGATTGAATGTTGAGATATATTATTCTGGGCTATTATTTTGCATTCTTGTTTCTTCTTGCCTTGCAGAATATAAAAATGCAGGGGCAGCCTTTAAAAACTGCACCACCACGTGGCCTTGCACCCAGCTGACCATCTCCACCCAGGGCCCTGATCAGTGTCTGGAGGCTCTCAGGATGGGGAGAAGCAAGGAGGCGCCCGTTTCTTTGGAAGCCCAGTGATCCCGGGCTCCTGCCGACCTTGATTCTTGATGGGGTCATGCAGTTTGGGGGTCTTCCTGGACTCACTGTGCTGCTGGCAAAGCGGGTGGAGGCTGAGCCAGGAAGCTCTTTGCCCAGCTTCATCTGGGGTGCCAGTTGCGGCCTTACCTGGAACAGGATGCCCCGGGGACGGGCGTTCCTGCCCTTGTAACCTCTCACCTGGATTACCGTCATTCGCTTTACATTGGGCTGCCCTTGAAGACTACTTGGAAGCTTTAACTGGTGTGAAACGCAGCGACCGCTGTGCCTGCTGGGCGCTCTCGTGGCAGCACGTGAGACTGTTGCTGGGTGGGCTGCACTGGCTACCGATCTGTTTCTGAGTGCTGTTGATTACTTTTAAAGCCTCTACATGGCTGAGGACATTTGGGGGGGGGGGGTCCATGAATCTACCCACCCACTCCAAGGCACAGAGAATGTCTGTTGACGGTCCCCCACTATCGAGTGCCAAGAGGGGAGAAGGGCTGAAAATGGGAAACCCCAGCCTTGTGACCTTGGCTCTTCCCGAGATCTTTCGGGTTTGACGGTTATGTGATGGTCACAGGGGTGAGTGTTATTTTAGCTGGGGGGGCAATTGGGGTGGCTTAGGTCTGCTCCGAGGGGAGGCATCTCCAGCAGAGCCAGAAAAATACCTCCTTAGGTTCCCAACTTTGCCTCCTGGAAGAACAGTGTAGGAATCACCCTTGCAGAGGGCAAAGGCTTGGCAGGGCGAGTTTCCACCAATGTGTACAAGACACACTTCTGCCCGTTTTGTGCCTGTGGTTAGAAACTGCACCCGGCCTGAAAAAAGGTGCCCCCCACCCACCTGGCCCCTCTTGTGGTGCCCGCCAGCAGTGGCCGGTGTGTGGAGTCAGCACCCCCTGCTGGCCACCGGCAGAGCCTCGGGTGGGGAAGAAGCGGGCAGAAGCCAGCGCTTGGTTCTGAAGGCTGTCCGAACCCAGGGAACCGAGATCTTGATAGGGTGCCATGCATGGCACTGTTTAGCCTCTTCTGCTGACGTTTTGTGGCTAAACATCATGTGGTTTCTTTGGCTTTGGCTTGGTCAGGGTATGAACCCAAGCCGTCCCTCAAGGCTTGTTCAGGGGATCATGGTGAAAGCCAACCATATTTTAGCATTTTAGGAACATGGCATTTTTCTTTGCAAGGAGGCCACACTGGCACCAGGGAAGTCACTCCTTTTGCAAATAAGATTGTGCCTTTTTTTTTTTTTGAGAAAGATCTCTTTGGGGACCAGAAACCCTATCAAGCGTCCCAAGCCGTCTCATGAAGCTCAGGAGGCAAGCCTGCTTCTCCTGGGACATTTTCCTACAGGTTTACATGTTAAACACAAGTCTGGCAACCTTTCAAACCAGCTCTAAGCAAGCCCGTGTGAGACCCACCAAGCAGTTTGGAAAATGCCAGTCTGGGTTTTGCAGGAAGATGCCCCTGCAGATGCCAGGTCCCTGTTTCCTGCCAGTGCCCAAGCCAAAATCGCCATGGAGGGCAGTGCCCAGCAGCTGGAGCGGGGAGGGGACTTGTCTGCTGCAGCCCACAGGATCCAGCAGGAGCTGAGCAGATCCCAATCCCTGCGCACACTGCTAACCGCATTGTCCATGAAGCGTCCAGTTGAGGTCCATGGAAAATTCCTGAAGAGGATGCTAAGTTGCCTTGGCTAGTGGGCTGGGGAAGCAACAAAGGCAGTGATGTGAAAACTTGCCATGAAGAAGTTATTGGGGCTGTTCCTCCTCCAGTTAAGGGGATGTGAGGATGAGCCCGGACTTTTCCACCAGAGGTCCCACCCCTCTGAAGTGGGATCTGGGGAGTTGACTGCTGCTTGAGCACTGTTCTTCACCTGAACAGGTGAGGGACAAAGATCACAGGCACGACAACCACACTGACAACTGGTACTAGAAGACTTGATATTTATTCTCGCACTTCTTTATGGGGCATCCTTGTGCATTAGAGAATCAATGGCACCTTCCCATCCAAAGGAGGACGGGTGAACACAAGAACCACCTGCAGACACACCTGGATGAGAAGCCTTGTATCTTCTGGGACCCCAAAGCCCCCTAGACTCCTGTCATGCTGGGAGAGGAGGGAGGACCCCCCTTGCGAAGCTGATGCTGCCCAAGGGTCTCAGGAGCCGAGCATCCCTGCCATCTCCAGGAAGCCCAGGAAGGCAGAAAAGAGCAGCAGAATCGAGGCTGAGCGGGGGACTGAGGGCTCCCCTGCTAACGCGTAATACCTCGCCACTGCATCGTTGGGGTTGCCGTTGACGGGATCAAACCACATCTGGATGCAGCGCTCACTTCCCCGGGAGAAGGTGGTGTATTTATAGGAGTTGCTCCAGATCTTCTCACACAGATCTTTTGGAGTAGGGAACACGCGCTTCAGCTTCTGGCACATTGACCCCACCGGACACCGATTGCTTCCTGGGATGAAAGGAAGGAAGAATGGTGGGGAGGAACGTGTTTCCTTAGGGAAGATGCCAAGTGGGTTCCTAGCTGCCAGGCAGGAAATGAGCCCCTCCAGCTGGCTTTGCAGAGAGCAGGCACACCAGCCTACAGCTGGGCAAAAGGCACCCTCCACACATTGCATGTGGAAGCGAGCCCTTTCCACGAGGTCTCTGTCCCTGGACACACACGCATGCACGCACGCCCTCTGGCCCTTCGAAATTTAGTGGCACGGTTGTGCCGCTGTGCAAAGGTCTCTGGCCTTATTCCAGAGCAGCCTTTCCTAAGTCAGCGCCAGAAAAGTGGCTCACCCCAGTTAGGGGGCTGCTTGTCCCTTTTCTCCCCTGCGCAGCAACCCGGGGTGGGGGACGGGGGAGAGGAGCAACATAGGCTCTGGAGCCGCCTGACCTGTGGACCAATCCCAGCCTTTGTGCCAGTTCTCTTTGCAGGTCATCTCATCCTGGCAGTCCTCCCACCAGGCCTCACAGTCTTCCTTGCAGAGCGGCACATCCAGGATCCTCTCCTGCCGCCAGCTCTGATCCACCTGTGTGCGGAAGGAAACGATGGGGGATGCTGCTTCCGAACAGGAGAGCCTCCAGCTCCTCTTTTTATCGCTCAGTCTGATGGCTCCCCAAAGCCTGGCCCGTCCTGGGTCTCCCAGGGCTGTTGGACCTTCTCCCAACCGGACGACTCAGACTGCAGCCCGCCTCGCCCCAGAGAAACTCAGAGGACCTCTAACCCTTTCCCTGGGAGCTAAGGAACCCACGACCCACACCTCCACCGATTCCACCTGACAGTTGTCTGGCTGGGGGCACTGAGACCAAGCCCAGCCTGGCTGCCCACCTTGCTAATCCAGGGCCCCAAGTTGGGCGAGCACTCATAGAGGCAGGTGTCCTGGATGAAGTGCTTCTTACATTTATCCGACATGACCCCACAGTGGTTCCAGTCGAAGTTGTACAGATAAGAGGTATCTTGGTGGGCCTCTACACTTGTGTTGAGTGTGCAGCAGGCGTTGTCTTTCCAGGGGTAGCACTGGGAGAAGAGAGGCAGAGAGAGAGGCTGGTTTGGGCTAAAAGGGGCTGATATCCTCTTTCGGGTGGGGCATCTTCTCCTAGAAGTGCTCCTACTCCCCACCACAAACTGGCAGCGTTCAGAGCCCAGCCAGGTTTCCCTCTGACCATTGAGGTGACTTGGCGGGAGGGGACTGGTGGACATCCGCAAAGGGTGCTCTACTGCTCTACCAAATAAGGACTGCAGGTCTTATTATGGCACTGGCCCTCAAAGAACATCCCTTTGGGTGTTGCGGGAACTCACAAAACATTTTTCATCTGATAGCAAGATATCCTTAAATAGTTCTCCCCAAAGGAAAATTTCTTCCTTGTCCCTGGTCAATCAAGTCCCATTTTTTCCAAACACCTTTCCTATCATCTCACACGCTTCAGCCTCTTGGCTTCTGAGTCAGCAGCTGGCAGGCCTCAGTCCAAAACCAGCCCCACTGGGGACAGCTTCCGCCTCTCACTGCCAACGCAGAAGCACACAGAATTATAGTGTTCGAAGGGACCTGAGAGCATCTAGGCTGCCCCCCTGCCCAGAGCAGGATCTGCCAAAGCATCTGGGTCAGAAGGCTCCCCAGCCTCTGCCCCTTCCCGAGGCAGCCTGTTCCCTTGGTTGACAGCCGCTGTCCCTGGGAGCCGTCAGTCACCGGAGCACCAAGAGGACAAGACCAGACTCAGCCTTCATCCTGCCCAAAGTACAGAAGGTGGTCTGGTGGGGCTCTTCTAGGCAGCTGGCTCTCTGGGGCAGCCCTAGGCTTCTTAACTTGACCCCCAATAGCCCATTCCAACAGATGGGATGGGATGCCAGGCCAAACGCAACCCGGAGCCTTCAAGCACCTTTCCAGCCTTAAAGAGACTCGGAAACCGGGCTGTGGTTAGGTCGCCCTGCAACTTCAATAAATAAATAACACCGATGGTTTTTTTTTTAAGATCTCTTGGCCATATTTATATTTTTTGTATTTGATTGTTTTTATTATTGTTAGCCACCCAGAGCCACTGGTCTGAGATGGGCAGCTACATAAATTGAATGAACGAATGAATGAATGAACTTCTACCCCGAGCAGCCCAGCTGCCCTACCTGTTTGTGCAGCTGATCCTCTGGACCTGGCTTGGTTTTCTGGTGCTTGGCATCCATACACACATTCAGCAGAGATTCCTGGGCATCTGCCATCGCCAGGATCAGCAGCAGCAGCCCCCCCATGGCAAACATTCCCCTGCAGGCAGAGAGCGAGAGAGAGAGACAGAAGGAGAACCTCCTGTGGATGGAAAGATTTCCTTTTCTTCCACTCCGGAGCTGCTGTCAGAAACCAGCATCCTTGGCGGTCCTCTGGCCACACTGGAGACTGCAGCGGCCGCTCAGCTCAGCTCAGCTCCTTCTATTCCACGCCCTGCCCTCCCTCCACCCCCCCCCCACATCCACAGAGCAGGCAGCAGAAAGCAAAACTGCCCCTTTAAAGCAGACAGAAGGAGAACCTCCTGTGGATGGAAAGATTTCCTTTTCTTCCACTCCGGAGCTGCTGTCAGAAACCAGCATCCTTGGCGGTCCTCTGGCCACACTGGAGACTGCAGCGGCCGCTCAGCTCAGCTCAGCTCCTTCTATTCCCCGCCCTGCCCTCCCCCCCCCCCCCCCCCCACATCCACAGAGCAGGCAGCAGAAAGCAAAACTGCCCCTTTAAAGCCCAGCTGAAGTCAGGGGGGGGCACACAAGCTGCAGCTCAGTGGGTTTCCCCACTTCCATTGCTTTGGTTGACCTTGGTAAAATCAATCATTTAAGGTTCTTTGAAGCCCCAAATTATAGGCAGAGGGACTTTGCAATATCTCCATAGGGCCAGCCTTCCCCAGTTTGGGTGTGGTTGGGTTTGGGTTTTATTTCCCCCAATTTATTG